GTTTTGTTTTAAAACGTCAATTTCCCTCTGGACTGCTTAAGGATTTAATTCCCACTTTGTGATTTTTTTTTTGTTGTTGTTGTTGTTGTTCTTTTTGAAGCAGGGTCTCCCTGTGGCCCCAGCTGTCCTGGAACTCACTATGTAGACCAGGCTGGCCTTGAACTCACAGAGATCCGCCTGCCTCTGCCTCCCAAGTGCTGGGACTACAGGCATGCGCCACCACGCCCAGCGTGATTTTTAAATGGAATAGAAGTCTGTTTATTTTGACTTTCTTTTTTACCTTTCTTAACGTGTATTCCCATAAACCACAAGTTTTTAATTGGCTGAAAGAGCACAATTGCTTAATCATGCATCGAAAAATACTATATATTCAACGCTTGCCACTCTAGGGTCAATGAAGCTGGCATGTTTTGCTTTCTCAACTGTTGATGAAACAAACATAGCAAGCATTAATCTTCCTCAAAGTAAGAGGCACTGAGCCATATTTCCGCTATCATTTCATGTCAATGACCAGATTGCTTAAAAAAGATATTTAAAAGGCAACTGGTAGCTTTTTAATTCTAAAACAAATGACATCTGTAATTAAACTACTGCCAAACTATAAATATAATTCAAAATATCTAAAATTTTAATCTAAAAATACTGATTGTATTTGATGGTTTGCTGTTCAGAGTATTTCTGGTAGATTCACCTTCCAAGTTCTAAGCCATTGTTAACAATAACAGCAGTAGTAGAAAATGGTAGAAGGGCTCCTCTTAGAGCAAAGCAAACTTTGAAAGTGTATTCAAAAGCCCTCCCCCTGGGTAACAGGAATGAAAAAGAAAAAACTTATCGAAACGGTTATTATCGTCTTAGTCGCTCTGGAGATTCCAAATGAATTCTTACACTTCGTACTGATTTCTGCTTTTAGTCCCAGCAAATTGCATCACTAATCTTCATCATCAGTTGAAGAGCTAGGACAATTCAAGCCATGGCCCAGGTTTTGTTGAGAAGTACAACTAGGAATGACAATGCTTACTGAGAAATAAGCTCAAGAACTAACCTCCCTGAGGACAGAGGTGAAAATGAATTTTTTTCTGACCCCACCTAGGTGGCCCCCACAAAGGTCAGTGACCATAGAGCTGTGTGCTGACACATCCTAAAGCTCCAGCCTAAATTAGTCTCCAGGGTTCATGTGGCTCTAAGGATAAGCAAAGGCTCCCTGAGCACATCTTGAGATGGATTCCTGGCAACATTTCAGACTCTATTTCTCTGTTTGGGTGGCACTGGGGATCAAACCCAGGGCCTTGTACTCATCCAAGACAAGTGCACTACCAAGCTGCATCCCTAGCCTAATCCTTTATCTCCATGCAAACATTTCTCTCTTCTTCCACTGCTTAACATGGTGGCTGGGGTTGAGACACCATGTGACTGTATTCTCAACTTCCATTACCACCTTCTCCAACTATGAAAGTCACATCTCTCATCCAGTCCAAATCCTACTGTAAGGCACAATTCAAATTACTAATGTCAGAAAAGCTACCTTTAACCAGGTATCATTAACCCACTGGGAAAGCCTGCTTTCCCCTGTTCTAAGTGTATTTCTATTTAATGTAGTCTGCCATTAGGGGGAAAGATGGCATTTTGATGAGTGCTGGGATGTTGTGAATTCACATCTTTACTCAGCGAGGGGGGAAATTACGGCAATTTTAATTGAGTCACCTCCTTGCTTCCATCCCTGAGGACAGATAGGAGAGCAAGCCCAGGGAGAACAAAGCTAGAGAACCAGGGGTAAGCTCAGGCTCCCTTCTGGATCAAGTCTCACTAATAGAATTTAGGAATGAGAGTGGCCCTGGGATGCATATTAATATTTATTTAAAAAATTAAATTTGACTTGTTCCTGACAAGAAGCATATCTGATATGTTGCTGTTTGAGCATAACTTTGCCCATTAGATGATGCAGATGCATTTTCTGCAAATTAACTGATTTACGTATTTAGAATAGGTACTAAAACACTTTTATTAAAAAAATAATGCCTTTAATCCCAGCACGTGGGAGGCAGAGACAGGTGGATCTCTGTGAGTTCAAGGCCAACTTGGTCTACACAATGAGTTCTAGGTGAGCCAGGCTATAGGGAGGGCCTGTCTCCTAAAAAAAAAAAAAAAAAAAAAAAAAAGAGACAAAAATAAAATTATGAATATGTTTGATCTCTGTGGGCTGGAAATGGGCTCCAGGATTGAGAACTCGGTTTTGTCAAATGACACAAGACTCCACCAGTAGGAAAGTCTTGCAGAGGCAGCAGCAGAATGAGTTGGCCATGTCAGTGGTCCCAGTTGGGAATAACACACTGGAGGATGGAGGAACAGTAAAAGCCTGGATGGTGTTATCATCGGAAATCCAAGAGGCAAAGAATCAACCATGAGGCACACTGAGTGGGAACCAATTTCAGAGCTATCTGCTCTGTCCTCCAGTCTCCTTCTTTCAAGAGAGGTGCCAATGCATGGGGAGGAGACAGGGAATCCAGGAAGCCAACCACAGCCTCGCTCACATTTGTAAGCCTAAAACCAGTCCAAGCTGAGAGAAAGGCAAGGGTTTAAATTGTTCCAGTTTCAGTATATCTGCAGCCAAAGCCAGCACCAAAGTGGTAACAGGAATGCGTAGCAGGAATGCAAGGGAGAGAACTTGTATCCCTTGCATGCTAACTTGTCCGTTAGTGTGAACGTATGTGACACTAGTCTGGGAATTTTACAGGAGAACCAATTCTGTTCTTGTGGCTGAAAGTCAACAGATGAATTTAATTCTCTGAATGACTAGAGGGGATGTAGGACCTGCTCAAAGTTTTGTTCATATTCCCTCATTCCCTCTCAGGTGGCATTCTCCTAGGTGGCAACAGGCAGACTGAAGCTGCCTTCTGCTCCCAAGGATGCTGAATCACTTGGTACAGCAGTCAGACAAAAAGTAATGGGCTGCTTTGCATGGTACCCATTCTCGTGTCTTGTGTATTAGGGATTGTACTTTGCTAGGCAAGCAGTCTACCATTGCGACACATCCTTAGCCCTTGGGTTACTTTGTTAAATGGATTTTTATCTCCTTTGATAGCCTGCCTAATAAATAGGGCATGCTCAATAAAGTTTCCCATATACCTATCTCAATTTAGCAAGACACAAAGGAATGCAATGCTTAATAAAATGCATTAAAGGCTGTGTAATTAATGTCCTACTGTCTACGAAGACTAAGGCCTGTGTTGAATGATGAGACATCCTAACATGCACCCCAGTAGATGGGATAAGCTGCCTAAAACCACCACCCTACCCTCTTCCTTTACTGTCAAATATCTGCACACAGCTGGGGACACCAGAGAAACTGTGGGAAAAGAGAGGGGAAGACAGGATCACTGGACATGTTTCTAATTAGTATTTCAATTTGTCAATGAATAAGATAACAGGAAAATCAACTAACAAGTAGACAGTCCACTACAATTTTATGTGACTTAAAAGAAAGTCCAAAACAGTAGTTTTAGAACTCTCATATGTAACAAGACTTTTTGGTACACTAGGAAATGCACATTTAGCTAGCAGAAAAATGGAGAAAGTGAGCTTAGAACTTAATTCTTTTGTGATTTTAACATCAAAATATTAGTGGTACAATATCAAATAGAGTTAGACAACAAAGTGAGTAAACAATCTTAAAACATTATTTGATTCCACTGGAGAGGTTTTCAGTGAAATGACTGAGGTTATGTAAATTTGTTGTAATGCTCCCAAAGGAAGGAAAATAAATGCAGCTAGGAGGGGTAAGAAAATATTTCAATAACACAAACGTACCTCAAGTCGCTGCACATGCCACATGGGCGATCCTATGATCATGGCCACCAGCCAGACCACACCTGCAAAAATACAACAGTCATCAGAATGTGATGCAGCTTGATAAACCACGTGCATATGGCTAATCACCAAGATGCCCCATCTCCAGTGTGCCCATCTTCTCTGCCCTGGGCAGTGCAATTACCTCCTCAAAGGGGCTCAGTCGTTTCCCTACCCCTGAAAGATTGCTGCCACAGTCTTCCTAAAAGGGTTTTTTTGGGGGGAAGGGGCTTGTGTGTGCTTTCTCATGTCTGTATAGAGACCAGAGGACAATACTGGGTGTCCAGCTCCAGTGACTCCACCCTATTCCCTTGAGATAGGGTGTCTGACTGTACCTGGAGCTCACTGCTTTTCAGCTAGACTGGCTGGCCACCAAACCCAGTGTGGTGGTTTGAATGAGAATGTCCCCCATAGATTCCAAGTAGTTAGACATTTTGTTCCCAGTTGGTGGTGCTGTTTTGGGAGGTCTTAGAAGGTGTGGTCATGCTGGATGAAACAAGTCACTGGGGGTGGGCTTAGAGAGTTCTTAAGCTTTGCCGGATCTCCAGTTGCTCACTTGCACTCTGTGCCTGCTTGAAGATGTGAGAGCTTAACTTCTGCTGCTCCTGCTCCAGTCACTCCAGCCACCATGCCTCCCCACCATGATGGACTGTGATTCCCCTGAACGGTACTTTGGTCCATGTTTCTATCACAGAAAGAGAAAAGTGTCTAATATACCCAGCAATCTTCCAGTCTCCTCATCCCCCAGCACTGGAGCTACAGGCATGTGCAGTCATGCCTTGACTTTTCTATGCGAGTGGTAGGGATCCAAACTCAGGGCCTCATGCTTGCACAGCAAGTGTCCTTACCCATTGAGCTATCTCTCCAGTCCCCTAAAAAAAAGGTTTAAATGTTAAAAATTCTTTAATAATGCTCTGTGGCCTAGAAGGTAAAAACCCAAACTCTACAGCATGGCCCCATGAGAAACACTTTCTCTCCTCTTTTTCACTCAACTCATGATCTTCCCACCCAGAAAGGATGTGTGGGGTTGACTTCAGTTCCTGCATCTCACATTGCACTGTCTGGCTCTGTGCTACACCCTTTTCTTGGATGGGTCACTCTGTCACCACTGCCCAGGAGAAACTATCATTTCCAAGTAAACTGACCACTACTCCCTCAGTGAGTCTGTGCCTTCCAGTGCAGCATTCCATAGCCTTCATTCAACATCCCCTCAACTCCTGATGGACAAGGACAGTAACTTACTTTTGTGTTTTCTCAAATGAGAGTCTAAAGAAAATTCCCAGTCCTCCGTAGAAGCCGATACACATGTGTTTGACCAATGAATAAGTTTTAAGATTTTTTTTTATTTATGTGTATGAACAACTTTTACACATGGCACCTTTACCTTCAATTATTTCTTCTTGAAGTCTAAATACATTCATATTTTTATTAATTTTAAAGTTAACATTCAAGTAATGCATTTCATTATGACATTTTCATACATAGGTGCCATTATACATCTGTCCCACTCCCCAACTGCCCTCCCCAATACTCTACCCCTTACTAATTCCCTTTCATCTCCAATAGTTCCCCCCTCTTTTCTTTACCTTCTCTTTCCTCCTTCCATTAAGATCTCTTCTTCCCCATCATGTTGTCTTTCCAGTGTCCTCTCTCTCTCTGTCTCTCTCTCACTGTCTCTGTCTCTCGCTCTCTGTCTCTGTCTCTCTGTCTCTGTCTCTCTCTCTCTCTCTCACACACACACACACAAGCTTAAACTTAGTTTCTGTGCATGAAAGAAAATCCAAGGTATTTGTGTTTCTGAGTTTCATTTCACGTAACATAATAATTTAAACTGACATTCATTTTCATGCAGATGCCATGATTTAATTTTTATTTATGATTGAAAAAGTTCCACTTGTGTAAATGTGCCACATATTCTTTATCTGTTAATCTGCTGATGGTTATCTAGCCTATTACATTTCCTACTTATTCTCAATAAAAACAATAATTATGGATGTATAAGTAAGTCTGAGGGTGCTGACCTTGAGTCCTTCAGGCAGGGAGCCGGGAGTGGCTTAGCTAGGCCACGTGGCAAGCTAAGAAAACTCCGTAGTGATTTGTATAGTGACTGTACAATTTGCAATCCCTCCCCCGAAGTGAACAAATCTTTCTTTTCTATACATCCTCATTAGCACTTACTGCCATTGGTTTCCTCAATGAAACCCATTCTGACTGAGAAGGGGTAGAATCTCAAGCCATTTTAAAATGTGTTTCTCTCATGGCTAAGGATGCTTAAACACTTTTAAGTATTTATTGGTCATGTGTGTTCCTTCTTTTGGGAACTGTCTATTGAGTCCTTTATAGCGCATTTACTGATTGAATGACTTGGGCTTTTTAGGATTTAATTTTTGTAGTTCTTTATATATACATATAAGATATTAATCCCATCTGATGTGTTCTTGGCAACAAGTTTTTTCCTATTCTGTGGGCTGTCTCCTCACTCTGATGAAGAGTAAATGAGAGCCAAGTAACCATGGGCTTAAGTCTTTGAAACAATGAGCAAAAATAAATCCATTCTTGGTTAAGTTCTTTACCCCACATGTGTCACAGTGACACGAGGTGACAAACACACCTAGCATTGTAAAAGCCCTTTGGTTAGTGTACTGCCTCTTCATTTTGAAAGGATGAACAAGTCCCTGGTGCCTTTCCACAGCAATGCAGGTCATAGTAAGGATTTCTGTCACAATAGCAGTACACTGGACAAATGGTACCATCTTGCAAATGAAGGCACCTGTGACAAGGAAAGAGAACAAATTATACATCAAAAAGAATGAAATGTTCAATCTGTCTCTTATTAATTGTCACAATTAATTCTGAATCTCTGCTCAAAAGCTTCATGATCATAATTATGATCAAAATTATATTACAAACAAAATAAGTGAAGAAGTCTGCATTGACTTACATGTTCTTTCTCTGACTGAATTTTAATTTTCTAAATGCCAGACAATTATGCATAACAATACAATGGGAGAACAAATCAGTGTCCACTAGTGATAATAGATACAGAAAAATCCACATGAGCAGGTGAGCATGGTGGAACAGATCTACAATCCAAGCATTCAGGAGGCCAAGGTAGAAGGATCCAGAGAGTTTGAGGCCAGTGTGAGTTACATAAGGAAATCTAGAACAACCTGGGTTACATAGTGAAACCCTAACTCAAAATCAAATAAATAAAATAAAAATAACAATAATCCATGTGACCAGTGTTCAGAGACGATCTTTGGGAGTCTGAACTGCAGAGTAATTGGCACCAGAGTCCCGAATTTCAAAGTTTACTTTTTATTTTTCTTTGGTGTCTATCCAAAACTCTAATAATAATTCTAACATCATCCTTTTGGACTGACCACTTTCTCTAGCACAAAGATTTCAAGCCAGTGGCTGCTGGACAAGATACTGTACTGATCAGATGCTTCATTTGGTAATAGAGTATTTTTAAATAATGGAATACATGGCCAAATGTCTCAAATGTTTCTATTCTCTGCTTCACCCCTTCACCATGTCAACGTGTGGGCCCTGTTCTGGTGTTTCTGCTCTTGGTATCTGTCCTGCTTGCTCTTCAGAGAATAAATCACAGAGATACTGTAGTCCAAACTCAAAATGAAACAAAAAGCTTCTCGCTGTCTCTCACAAATGCTCTGCCCAGCTCTTCCTAACACCTGCAAGGCAGCTTCCTAAGTTGCATACTTTCTCCTAAGGCCTTTGTAGTGTACTTCTCTCTCCCTGAAATACTCTTAAGAAAACCTTCCTCACATAGTTCACAGAAGTCTCTGTTCAGTTGTCAGTGTGATGATTCATTCTGTACGTCATATTGACTGGGATAAGGAATACCAAAGTAGCTGGCAAAGCACCATTTTGGATTGTGTCTATAAATGTATTACTGGAAGAAATAAACATTTTAATAAGTGGACTAAGTAAAGATGGCCTCTCACCAGTGTGGATGGGCAACATCTGATCTGCTGAGTACTCACATAAAAAGCAAAGTGGAAGCTGGGTGTGATGGCACACACCTTTAATCCCAGCACTCAGGCATACAGAGGCAAGTGGATCTCTTGAGATCAAGACCAGCCTGGGATGGTCTACCTAATGAGTTCCAGGCCAGCTGGGGCTATAGGAAAACTCTCAAAAAACAAAACCAAAAAAAGTAAGGTAGAAAAAGGGAAAATCTTCTCTGTGACATCTGCCTCCCCCAGCCTTGGGACATCAGTGTGATGGTTCCCAGGCCTTGTGTATGGACTGGAGCTATGCCAGCATATTTCTTGGGCCTCCAGTGTACAGAGAGCAGAAAACAGGACACTACAGCCTGCATATGTGTGAGCCAGCCCCTTACACTTAAAGCTCTCTTGGTATATCTCTAGATGTCCTGTTGATTCTGTTTCTCTGGATACCATTGGATTCAACCCACTTTAACAATGGCATTTTTATTAACAGTCTACCCCATTCCACTGCCATCTCTGCTTATCCTTTTAAAAAGTCTTTTGCTGCTGAGCATGGTGGTGCAGGCCTTTAATCCCAGGCCACAGGAAGCAGAGGCAGGCAGATCTCTGTCAAATTGAGGCCCACCTGATCCACATAGTGACTTTCAGGCAGGCTGGGACTAGGGAGACCCTGTCAAAAACAAACAAGCAAGCAAAAAGTCTTTTGCCATAACTCACCTTTTAATGTGATATATATGTTAAATGGATGATAGGTAGGTATAATATATACTTATTTGTTTTTATAATTTATTGACAATCTCTCTATCTTTAACAGAAAGAATATAAGCACTCAAAGAACAAGGATGTTTTTCCACTGATGGTCACCCAACATTTAGCTTGGCTCAGTAAATATCCCAGTTGAAGACAGTGACTTACAAGAATGCTCTTAATGACCAAAGGCATCCCATTTAATTTTGGAGAGGTTTTAAATAAAGAAAGGTGCTTTTTAATTCCTACCACTTCTAGTTACTCCTTAGAGTCTCAGAACAATCCACTGTGTTTTATAAACCTCATATGCTTGGATCCTCATGTATTTGTGTCATTAAAATCTTTTCTAATTGCCTCTAATGCTCCTCATTTGATAAGCTTTTCGGATTTTTTAATTCCCCGGACAATCCTGACAGGGAAGAACTTGGGAAATATCTTGCCTTCTCATATCTGACCACCCTGTTTGCAACTACAACTAGCTTACACCAGCCTTCCGTGCTAGACTTTTCAAATTATTGCCTTCTGTTGAACATAAAATCAACTGGGCTTAAGAGTGTAAATTTTTGCTGATTCCCTTATCTCCTCCCTATGACTGGGGAAACAAAGGCATGAAGATGTAAGTCTAGATATCACTCTTTCCCATTCTTTGGAACTCCAAAGACAACCTAAGAGCCAACATGCTTATTCCTGTTCCCTATTCCCATCTCCCAAATCCCAACCCTGTTCAAAGATAAGGCCCTTCTTTGTTTAGAAAGATCATTTAGATGTCAAGGGCAGAATTTACTTTTAGTGCTGTAAACTTTGCAGTTTGGATACATATTATCCTGTTACTGAATTAACTTATGTCCAATCATGTGGGAAGCGAGCACAGCTGAGTCAGCCAGATGGCGCCCTGGCTGGCTGCCAAACCTCGTGCTGTTTACTCCAACTCTTGGCTGATTGCCAAGGCTCGTGATTCCCGCTTGCTTACTCCAAAGTATGGAGAGGCCAAACAGGTGCTGCCAGCCTGATGATCTTGCTACGTGCCTATGAGCTACACTCTGCCTGGCCGCTGCACATGTGTGAGCCCTGATTGATACCGGCTGGGGGGAGGGCTGTTGGAAACGCTATATAAAGAGCTGAAGTGTGTAATAGTGGGAGCAGCATCATAGTGAGCCAGCATCATAGTGAAGAGAACATGAGATAATAAGAGAGAATAAAGGAGAAAGAGAAACAGAAGCTTGAACCTCACCTTGGTGTCTGTGTCGTCTTTCCGGGACTCTGCTGGACAGAGTCCCGGCTCGCGACAAATGGTGGCCCGTACGGGGACCCTGAGGCTCGCGACAAATGGTGGCCCGTACGGGGAAAAACTGATGCTCCGGAGTTGTAAGTAAAAATAAAATAATAGTGCTAGCAATAAAACTCTAAAAGGAACAAGGAAGCTCCCCGGATAAGGGATGCGGAGGAAAGTCCCCGGAAAAGGGACGAGGACAAGGTTCCCTGAAAGGGATGAGGACAAGGTTCCCTGAAAGGGATGAGGACAAGGTTCCCTGAAAGGGATGAGGACAAGGTTCCCTGAAAGGGATGAGGACAAGGTTCCCTGAAAGGGATGAGGACAAGGTTCCCTGAAAGGGATGAGGACAAGGTTCCCTGAAAGGGATGAGGACAAGGTTCCCTGAAAGGGATGAGGACAAGGTTCCCTGAAAGGGATGAGGACAAGGTTCCCTGAAAGGGATGAGGACAAGGTTCCCTGAAAGGGATGAGGACAAGGTTCCCTGAAAGGGATGAGGACAAGGTTCCCTGAAAGGGATGAGGACAAGGTTCCCTGAAAGGGATAGAGGTTAAAGCTCCCAAAAAGGGACGAGGTGAAGCAATTCAAAGAAAATGGGTACTGGCGGCTCGAAAGCGAAAGTGCACACTGCGTTAGTGCAGCTCTTAGGACGTGGCAGGATCAAGATAAAGGCTGAGACGGTAGAAAAATTCTTGAATACCATCGCAGCAGAGGTCCCCTGGTTTCTTGAGGAAGGGTCTGTAGATGTTGCCTCTTGGGAGCGATCAGGAAAAGAGTTATCAGATTAAAAGAATTTTGGAGAATATGGGAAACGTACAGAGTAAGCAAGAACTTAAGGATATTTGAGAATAAGCAAGAACTTAAGAATATTTGGAAACGTACAGAGTAAGCAAGAACTTAAGAATATTTGAGAATATGGGAAACGTATAAAGTAAGCATGAACTGTATTATCAGATTAAAAAGGTTTTGGAGGAACAAGAAATTGAAAAACTGTATCTTTGAAATTATAAACCTAAAACTTTGTTGAAATTCATTAAGGTGTATCCACAATACTTAACACCCAGTGATTGGCAACAGTTGTGTAGAGCAGCATTATCAGGAGGTTATTATTTATTATGGAGAGAAGAGGTCAAAGAGCAGCCTCTACAGGTGGCCAGCGTTAGCGCAGGTGAGGGGAGCTGTTTGTGTTTTTCCCCCAGGTGCTGAACTGATATTGCACAGAAGCAAAAGAGGTTTTGGAATAACAGC